AAAGAATAAAAAATAAATTAAAATTTCTTACTTTTTCTAGAACACATTTTATATCAGCATTATATCAAGAAGGAATATTTAAATTATTTGAATCTGTTTGCGAAGCTTATGAAGAGTCTAAAAGAAAAATTAGTACATCAATACTGACAAAAACCATGCATATAGCAATTAAAAAACATCAACCTCCTGTTATTAAAGGACGTCGAATAAAATTAAAATATGCACATCTAGGAAGCTCTAATCCTCCTAAAATTATTATACATGGTAATCAAGTTACATACTTAACTTTACCTTATAAAAGATATTTAATTAATTTTTTTCATGACACTCTTAAAATAAAAGGAACACCAATTCAAATACAATTTAAAGATAACAAAAATCCTTATATTAAAAAATAAAAAAATTAATATTCTGTAACATAGTTTACATTATATAATGGAATTTCTACTTCAATATCTACATCTCCAATAATTGCTTGGCAACTTAAACGACTTTCAGATTCTAAACCCCAAGCTTTGTCTAAAATATCATCTTCTTTTTCAGACCCTCCCGAAAGAGAAAGAAATCCTTTTCTTATAATACAATGACATGTACTACAAGCACATGATTGACCACATGCATGTTCTAATTGAATATTATTCTTTAATGCTATATTTAATATTGTTTCTCCTTTTTTAGCTTCAAGTATAGCTCCTTGAGGTAATATAATTTTATGAGGTAAAAATATAATTTTCGGCATTATTTAATCTCTTTTAAATTATTTTTTTGTAAAAGAATTTATAGATTTTTTTAAACGTAATGAAAAAAAATCTTTACTTGCATCTTCTAGTTCTTTTACATGCAATTTGATAGAAAAAAAATCATCTTCATTAATAGATTTTTCTAGTTTTTTTTGTTTATCTTTAATAAGTTTTAATTCCTTTTCTGTAATTAAATATTTATCTTTCTTTAAAGCTGTATTTAAAATTTCTAATATTTGTATAGCTTCCATTTTTTTTTCAGTTTTAACTCTTAGATAATAATCTTTTTTAGCATATTCTAGTGAATTTTTTACTATTTTAGATACATTTATTTTTTGTAAAATAACATTATTATCAATTTGAATATTTTTTTCTTTATTACTAGATTTGTCTAATACTTTGACATTAATTAAACCATCAGTATCAACTTGAAATGTAACTAAAATACGAACTAATCCAGCTTTTTGTGGTTTTATATTTTTTAATACAAAACGAGATAATGAAATACAATCTTGTACTAACTCTCTTTCTCCTTGTAATATATGTATAAGAATAGAAGTTTGATTATCTTTATAGGTTGTGAATTCTTTTGTTTTAGAAATAGGAATAGAACTATTTCTTAAAATGATTTTTTCAACAAAACCACCCATCACTTCAATGCCTAATGAAAGCGGCATAACATCTAACAATAGAGTTTTATTTTTTATATTTTTATTAATAAGCATATTTGCTTGCATTGCAGCACCTATTGCTACAACTTGATCTGGATTAATAGAATTTAACGGCAGTTTTTTAAAGAAATTAGAGACTTCTTTAAATACCAATGGTACTCGAGTTGATCCTCCAACCATTATAACTTGTTCTATTTTTTCTACTGATAAATTAGTTTCTTTGATCAGATCTGAACAAATTAATAAAGTTTTACGAACTAAATTAATAATAATTCCATTAAATTCATCACGAGTAATGTAACCTTTCCAATCAAAAAAATGAACTTTAACTTTATGATATTTAGTTAATTTTAATTTTGTTTTTTTTGCAGTTTGAAGCAATAAAGATTGAAAAAAATCATTGCATTTATCTGATACATTAGATTTTTTAAAAATATAATCTGCTAAAGCTGAATCAAAATCATCACCTCCTAAATTAGAATCTCCACTAGTCGCTAATACTTCAAAAATTTCTTTATTTAACTTTAATATGGAAACATCAAAAGTACCACCTCCTAAATCATATACAATTATGATACCTTTTTTATGTGTTTGTAAACCATATGCAATAGCAGCAGCTGTAGGTTCATTTAATAATCTTATCAAATTAATTTTGGCTAAAAAGGCAGCTTTTTTGACAGCTATTTTCTGTATATTATTAAAATATGCAGGTACTGTAATAATAGTTGAATCTATTTCTTGATCAAAAATAAAAAGAGCTCTTTTTTTTAAACATTTTAAAATTTCACTGGAAACCTCAATAGGACTAACAAGACCAGCATTTGTATGAAATAAAACACCTCCATTTTCATCTTTATTGATTAAATATGGTAAAATAGGAAACTCTTTTTTAATAAATTCAATAGAGCGGCCTAACAAACGTTTTACAGAAGTAATAGTATTTAAAGGATCATTAATAACATGATCTAAAGCACTCCAACCTACTGATGTAATATTTTTTTTATAATGCACAACAGATGGTAATAGATAACGTTTTTTATTATCTAATAAGAAAATAATTTCTTCTTTTTTTACCGTAGCAGCTAAGGAATATGTTGTACCTAAATCAATTCCTAAAAATAATTTTTCATTATATTTTTTTTCTAAAAAAATCATGTAATTACCTTAATTTGTCTTTCTTAAATATATATCCTGTTCTTTTTTTAAATTAATTTTTATTTTTTTAAAAAAAAGCAATTTTGCAATTATAGGAATTATTTCTTCATAATTTTTATTTTCAAATTCAGTTTCCATCATTGTTTTATAATGTTTAGATTTTTTTTCTATCTTTTTTAAAAAAAAATGTACTTTTTTTCCGTTAAAATTATTTTTTTTTAAATTATCTATATCTTCATATAAAGAAAAATATTTTTTTAAAAAAGAATTATTTTTTAATAAAATAGTTTCAGTCTTTAATTTAAAACCATATAAGGACAATAAATATATTGCTCTACTTAAAGAATTTTTTAAAATTTTATAACCTTTATTAATCTCTATTGATTTTTCTAAAGCTATTGTTTTTGTTAAGTCAGACTCGTTTATAAATAAATCAGGATGAGATTGTAATTGTAATTTGTAAAAATTTTTTGAAAGTAATTCTTTATTAATTTTAAATTTTATCGGTATATCAAATAATGTAAAATAATTCATTTATAACCTTTAATTAAATAAATAAAATATTTTAATAGAATTAAATGTTGAAAGAAAAAAAATTCTTTCAACACCCAAACTATAAACGATTAGATTATTTTTTTTTGCTTTTATAATCAGCAATAGCTGCTTTGATAGCATCTTCTGCTAAAATTGAACAATGAATCTTTACAGGTGGAAGTTCTAATTCTTCTACTATAGTAGTATTTTTTATTAATTCAGCTTCATTAATAGATTTACCTTTTACCCATTCAGTAACTAATGAACTAGAAGCTATAGCAGAACCACAGCCATATGTTTTAAAACAAGCATCTTCGATAATACCTTTATTATTAACTTTAATTTGTAACTTCATAACATCACCGCAAGCTGGTGCACCTACTAATCCACTTCCCACGTTAAGATCAGAATTAGAAAAAGATCCTACATTACGTGGATTTTCATAATGATCCATTACTTTTTTACTATAAGCCATTTGAAATATTACCTTTAAATTAATTATAATGATTAATTATGATCCCATTCTATACTATTTAAATCAACTCCTGCTTTGAACATTTCCCATAAAGGGGAAAGTTCCCGTAATTTATAAATAGCATGATGAACTAATTTAACCGTATGTTTAATTTCGTCTTCTGTCGTAAATCTTCCTATGGAAAAACGAATAGAACTATGAGCTAATTCATCTTTGATACCTAAAGATTTTAAAACGTAAGAAGGTTCTAAACTAGCAGAAGTACAAGCAGAACCAGATGAAATGGCTAAATCTTTAAGTGCCATAATCAATGATTCCCCTTCGATATAATTAAAACTAACATTTAAAATATGAGGTACACCTTGTTTTAAATCACTATTTAAGTAAACCTCTTCAATATTTTTAATACCATTCCAAAGATAATTTCTTAATTTTGTTGAATGAGCAAAATCATCATTTATTTTCCTTTTAGCTAATATACATGCTTCACCCATTCCTACAATTTGATGAACAGGTAAAGTTCCTGAACGCATTCCTCGTTCATGCCCACCTCCATGGATAGAAGGTAACAAACGGACACGTGGTTTGCGACGAACATACAATCCACCAACTCCTTTCGGACCATAAATTTTATGTGCAGAAAAAGACATTAGATCTATAGAAACTTTTTTTAAATCTATAGAAATTTTACCTAAACTTTGAGTTGCATCTACATGAAAAAAGATAGAATTATTACGACAAATTTTTGAAATATTATCAATATCTTGTATAATACCAATTTCATTATTTACATGCATTATAGAAATCAGTATAGTATCTTTTCGTATGTTTTTTTTTAAATCATCTAAATCAATAATACCATTGTTTTTTGGTGTAAGATAAGTTAAATGAAATCCTTGCCCTTCAAGATATCTACAAGTATCCAAGACAGATTTATGTTCCGTCTTACTAGTAATAATATGCTTGCCTTTTTTTTTATGAAAAGATGCTATACCTTTTATAGCTAGATTATTTGACTCAGTAGCACCAGAAGTAAAAACAATTTCTCGAGAATCTGCTCCAATTAATTCCGATATTTGATTACGTGCAATATCTACAGCTTCTTCTGCATTCCACCCAAATTGATGAGAACGTGATGCAGAGTTACCGAATATTCCATTTATTGTGAGATAATTCATCATTTTTTTTGCAACTTCAAATTCTACTGGTGTAGTTGCTGCATAATCTAAATAAATTGGAGTTTTCATAATAAATATTTACCTTCAAATAATACTCAAATATATAGAATTTATATTCTATCATTTTAATAAAATTTAAGATCTAAAAAATCATTTAAATCTACTATTTTTAAAATATATAAAATACAAGCTAGACTTTTTTTCTCATTAAGAATATAATTATTTCTTTAAGCATATTAATATCATTAGGGGTGTAGTTCAATTTGGTAGAGCATCGGTCTCCAAAACCGAAAGTTGTAGGTTCAAATCCTTCCACCCCTGCCAAAAAAATTCAAAAATTGAAAGCAATTTTATTTCTTTGACCATCAAAAATAAATTGACATCAATATCAATAATCAAATTATATCAAAATATAATCCCTACTATTCTTAAAAAATTTTTAAAAACATTATATGTACTAAAATTTTTTTATTATTATTAATAAAAAAAAAAAATTCAATCGATATATATATATAATAATAATATTTTCAAAAATATTATTTTGGAGTTCTCTACAATGCCTAAATATCGTTCTTTTACAACTACTCATGGTAGAAATATGTCTGGAGCTAGATCTTTATGGCGAGCTACAGGAATGACCGATGAAGATTTTAAAAAACCAATTATTGCAGTTGTAAACTCTTTTTCTGAATTTGTTCCAGGGCATATTCATTTACAAAAAGTAGGAAAACTTATTGCAGAAGAAATCAAAACATTAGGAGGAGTGGCAAAAGAATTTAATACGATAGCGATCGATGATGGAATAGCTATGGGACATTCTGGAATGTTATACTCTTTACCCTCACGGGAGTTAATTGCAGATTCTATAGAATATGTCATTAATGCGCATTGTGCTGACGCAATGATTTGTATTTCTAATTGTGATAAAATTACTCCAGGTATGTTAATGGCTGCTTTGCGTTTAAATATACCATCAGTTTTTGTTTCTGGTGGACCAATGGAAGCAGGAAAAATAAAAAATAACAATAAAACGATAAAAATTGATCTAGTTGATGCTATTATCCACGGAGGAAATCCTAATCAATCTGAAAATATAATCAAAGAAATTGAGCGTTCTGCTTGTCCAACATGTGGTTCCTGTTCTGGTATGTTTACAGCTAATTCTATGAATTGTTTAACAGAAGTTATGGGTTTATCTCTTCCTGGAAATGGAACATTATTAGCTACTCATATTGATCGTAAAAAATTATTCATAAATTCTGCTAAAACTATAGTGCAAATTACTGAACAATATTATAAAAAAAATAACAAAAAAATTCTACCTAGAAGTATCGTGAATAAAGAATCTTTTGAAAATGCAATGATATTAGATATTGCTATGGGAGGTTCAACTAACACTATTTTACATCTTTTAGCAGCAGCTCAAGAAGCAGAAATTGATTTTAAAATGTCTGACATTAATAATTTATCTAAAAAAATACCTCATCTTTGTAAAGTTGCTCCAAGTACTTCTTTGTATCATGTAGAAGATGTGCATCGAGCCGGTGGTGTGATGGGTATTTTAGGAGAATTAAATCGTGTTAATTTATTACATAAAACAACAAGAAATATATTACAACTGAGTTTAGAAGAAACATTAGAAAAATATGATATTTTAGTAACAAAAAATTCTGATATAATTCAAATGTTTCAAGCTGGACCAGGTGGAATTCGTACAATACAACCATATTCTCAAGATTTTAGATGGAAAGAATTAGACAGTGATCGCAAAAATGGTTGCATCAGATCATTTCAATATGCTTATAGTCAAGAAGGAGGATTAGCTGTTTTATATGGAAATTTAGCAAAAAATGGTTGTATAATAAAAACAGCTGGAATAGATAAAAAAAACTATATTTTTTCTGGTACTGCTTGTGTGTACGAAAGTCAAGAAGAAGCTGTTTATGCTATTTTAAATGGTCAAGTAATTTCAGGTAATATTGTTGTCATTCGTTACGAAGGCCCGAAAGGTGGACCAGGAATGCAAGAAATGTTATATCCTACTACATATTTAAAATCTATGAATTTAGATAAAACATGTGCATTAATTACTGATGGTAGATTTTCGGGTGGTACTTCAGGAATTTCTATAGGACATATTTCACCTGAAGCAGCAGATCAAGGTGTGATCGCTTTAGTAAAAAATGGTGATATCATTGATATTAATATTCCTAAAAGAACCATCCATTTAAATATTACAAAAGAGGAATTATCTCGTCGAATTTCACAAGAAAAATCAAAAGGTTCTTCATCTTACAAACCTTCTAATCGTAAGAGATATGTTTCTTCATCATTAAAAGCATATGCATTTTTTGCAACTAGTGCTGATAAAGGAGCTGTTAGAGATAAGAAAAAACTATTTAATATTTAAATAATCACCTTAAACATAAAATTTTTAAAAAAATATAGGACATTTTATTATGAATTATTTTAACACCTTAAATTTTCATCAAAAAATTAATCAAATAAAAAAATGTCGTTTTATGAAAAAAAAAGAATTTAATAAAAAAAACGATATTTTAAAAAATAAAAATATAGTTATTGTCGGTTGTGGTGCTCAAGGTTTAAATCAAGGTTTAAATATGAGAGATGCCGGTTTAAATATTTCGTATGCGCTTAAAAAAAATAGTATTTTAAATAAAAATCCATCTTGGATTAATGCAACTCAAAATGACTTTAAGGTAGGAGACTACGAATCACTTATACCAAATGCTGATTTAGTTATTAATTTAACTCCTGATAAACAGCATAGTAATGTTGTAAAAGAATTACAAACATTAATGAAAAAAAATGCTTGTTTAGGTTATTCACATGGATTTAATATTGTTGAAATTGGCGAAAAAATTAGAAAAGATATCACTGTTATTATGGTCGCTCCTAAATGTCCTGGAACAGAAGTGCGAGAAGAATATAAAAGAGGATTTGGTGTTCCAACACTAATTGCTGTACATCATGAAAATGATCTTCAAAATATAGGATTAGAATTAGCAAAAGCATGGGCTTTTTCTACCGGAGGACATCGTGCAGGCGTACTTGAATCGTCTTTTGTAGCTGAAGTAAAATCTGATTTAATGGGTGAACAAACTATTTTATGTGGTATGCTTCAAACAGCTTCATTAGTATGTTATGAAAAATTAATTAAAGAAAAATATGACCCAGATTACTCAGGAAAATTAGTACAATATGGATGGGAAACTATTACCGAATCTTTAAAACACGGCGGTATTACTTTAATGATGGATAGATTATCAAATTCATCTAAAATAAGAGCTTATAATCTTTCTCAAAAAATTAAAAAAATATTATCTCCTTTATTTCAAAAACACATGGACGATATTATTTCAGGAAAATTTTCAACAGAAATGATGGAAGACTGGAAAAATAAAGATAAAAAATTATTACATTGGAGATATGAGACAAAAAACACATCTTTTGAACAAGCCCCATTTTATAAAGGTAAAATATCAGAACAAGAATATTATGATCATGGTACCTTCATGGTGGCAATATTAAAAGCTGGTATTGAATTATCTTTTGAAAAAATGGTTGAGACTGGAATTATAGAAGAATCTGCTTATTATGAATCATTACATGAATTACCATTAATAGCAAATACTATTGCAAGAAAAAAATTATATGAAATGAATGTAGTTATTTCAGATACAGCTGAATATGGTAGTTATCTTTTTTCTGAATCTGCATATCCTATTCTAAAAAGTTTTACGGATAATATTCAAAAAACTGATATAGGTTGTCCACTTATTTGTAATATAGTAAATAATATTGAACTACAGAAAGTAAATGAAAGTATTCGCAATCATCCAGTAGAAATTATCGGTCGTAAACTACGATCTTATATGAAAAAAATGAAAACAATTACAGTTGCAAAATAATAAGTCAAACAAAATTAAATCTTTAAAAAATTAAATAAAAACTTTTTAAATTCTAACATTATTGATATTTTATGTCTCTTAACTGTGCTCAAAAAAATGCTATTAAATTTATTAATGGTCCCTGTTTAATATTAGCAGGGGCTGGTTCTGGAAAAACTAAAGTTATTATCAATAAAATAATTTATTTAATAAATCATTGTCAATATCAAGCGAATAATATTACTGCTGTAACTTTTACTAATAAATCAGCTTATGAAATGCGAGTTCGTCTCTCAGAATACTTAAACACCATAGAAATAAAAAAAATGATTATTTCTACCTTTCATTCATTAGGATTAGAAATTATCAAACAAGAAATTGATGCATTAGAATTAAATTCTAATTTTACTCTTTTTGATGAAAAAGATCAAATAACATTATTAAAAAAGATATGTAATCAAGAAACAGAAAATAATATAAATTTTTTTAAAAAAATAAGTAATATGATTTCTTATTGGAAAAATAAGTTTTATACTCCTGAACAAGTTCAGTTATTAGCACGTTCTCATTTAGAAATAAAATTCGCATCTATTTATAAAAAATATAATACTTATTTATATGAATCTAATATATTAGATTTTGATGATTTAATTTGTGTACCCACAATATTATTAAAAAAAAATACAAACATCAAAAAACGCTGGCAAAAAAAAATTTCTTACTTGTTAGTCGATGAATATCAAGATACTAATAACAGTCAATATGAATTTATAAAAATGCTTACTAGAAGTGATTCTAATTTTACATTAGTAGGGGATGATGATCAGTCTATTTATTCTTGGAGAGGAGCAAATCCTAAAAATATTTTTGCATTAAAGAAAGATTTTCCAAATTTAAAAATTATTAAAATGGAACACAATTACCGTTCTTCAGGTAGAATATTAAAAGCTGCCAATAGTCTTATTTCTAATAATCTACATCACTTAGAAAAAAAATTATTTTCTAAATTAAAATATGGAAAATTAATTGAAGTTATTGTAGGTATAAATGAAGAAAATGAAGCAGAAAAAATAGCTAAAAAAATTTCAGAACAATACTCTTCAAAAAAAGCAAAATATCAAGATTATGCTATTCTATATCGAGGCAATTATCAGTCTCGAATTATTGAAAAAGTTTTAATAAAAGAAAATATTCCATATAATATTTCAGAAAATTCATCATTTTTCTCTCGACCAGAAATTAAAGATTTATTAAGTTATTTACGTGTTATAATTAATCCAAATGATAATTGTGCTTTTATGAGAATTATTAATACGCCTGCTCGGAAAATAGGAATAGTTACGTTAAAAAAACTAGAAAAATGGGCTATTAAAAATAATAAAAGTTTTTTTGAAGCTAGTAATGATATAGAAATCAAAAGTATCTTAAGAGAAGTAACAATAAATAAAATAAAAAAATTCACTTTTTGGATAAAAAAAACTACGCAATTGTTCTATTTAAAACCTTTTAAAATTCTAGATAATATTATTAATGATATCCAATATGAAAAATGGTTATCTAAAATTTTAAAAGAACCTAATAAAATCAAAAATAGTATTAATAATATTCATACTTTGTCAAAATGGATTAAAAATATGCTTCAAGGAGATGAATTTGAAAAACCTATGACTTTAAGTCAAATTGTAACTCGCATGACACTACGTGATATTTCTGATAAAAATATCAAAAATAATAACTATGAAGATAAAGTACAATTAATGACATTGCACGCTTCTAAAGGATTAGAATTTCCTTCAGTTTTTATTATTGGTATGTGTGAAGGAATTTTGCCTAACCACAAAAGTATTAATGATAATAATATAGAAGAAGAAAGAAGATTAACTTATGTTGGAATTACTAGAGCAAAAAAACAATTATTTTTTACTTATTGTGATCAGCGAATACAATATGGTCAAGTTTTAGATATGTCGCCTAGTAGATTTTTATTCGAATTACCTAAAGAAGATTTAAAATGGAATCAAAATATTTTTTTACAAAAATCTTTAAAAATGAGAGAACAAAATAAATTAAAAATATACCATTTTAAAAAAATATTAAAAAAACATAAAAAATAAAATTTTCAATCTTTTTTTTAATTTTAGTTTTAAAAATTTTTTAAAAATGATATTATAAGAATATATACTTTTAAATTATAAAAAAATTTAAATTTAATTTATTTTAAATTTCTTAATATTGAGTAAATGTATCAAAATGAACAAAATAATAACACTCACCGATCAAAATTTCAAAGAAAAAGTTTTAGAAAAAAAAGGATTTGCATTAATAGATTTTTGGGCTCCATGGTGTAATCCTTGCAAAATTTTAGCACCTATTTTAGAGGAAATAGCAGAAGAATATAATGAGAAACTAATTATTGGAAAAATAAATATTGAAGAACAGCCTAATACTGCCCCAATATATTCAATTAGAAGTATTCCTACATTATTATTATTTCATGATGGACAAGTTCTTTCTACTAAAGTAGGAGCGCTTTCTAAATTACAACTTAAAAAATTTTTAGATGAAAATATTAACTAAAACTACTTTAAAACAGTTAATTTAAAACATTAAAAATTCAATTTTATTTAAAATTTATTAAATAAACATAAGTAAATTTTAATATTATGTCATAATTTTTATTTCGAGATTTACCCCGATTTTACTAAGAACCCACCATTATGAATCTTACCGCACTTAAAAATATGCCAGTTTCTGAATTAATTACTCTTGGTGAAAAAATGGGGTTGGAAAATTTAGCGCGTATGCGTAAACAAGATATTATTTTTGCCATCCTTAAACAACATGCAAAAAGTGGAGAAGATATATTTGGAGACGGAGTTTTAGAAATACTACAAGATGGATTTGGTTTTTTGCGTTCTGCTGACAGTTCTTATTTAGCAGGTCCAGATGACATTTATGTTTCACCCAGTCAAATCCGTAGATTTAATTTACGTACAGGTGATACTATTTCTGGAAAGATAAGGCCTCCTAAAGAAGGTGAAAGATATTTCGCTTTACTTAAAGTCAATGAAGTCAATTATGATAAGCCTGAAAATGCAAGGAGTAAAATATTATTTGAAAATTTAACACCATTACATGCAAATTCTAGATTACGAATGGAACGAGGAAACGGTTCAACTGAAGATTTAACAGCAAGAGTATTAGATTTAGCATCTCCTATTGGACGTGGGCAACGTGGTTTAATTGTAGCTCCTCCTAAAGCTGGAAAAACAATATTGCTTCAAAATATTGCACAAAGCATTGCTTACAATCATCCAGACTGTGTTTTAATGGTACTATTAATTGATGAAAGACCAGAAGAAGTTACTGAAATGCAAAGATTAGTTAAAGGAGAAGTTGTTGCTTCTACTTTTGATGAACCTGCATCAAGACATGTACAAGTAGCTGAAATGGTCATTGAAAAAGCAAAAAGATTAGTAGAACATAAGAAAGATGTAATTATTTTACTTGATTCGATTACCCGTTTAGCGCGTGCTTATAATACAGTCGTACCAGCTTCAGGAAAAGTTTTAACAGGAGGTGTTGATGCTAATGCTTTACATAGACCTAAGCGATTTTTTGGTGCTGCACGTAATGTAGAAGAAGGAGGCAGTTTAACAATTATTGCCACTGCATTAGTTGATACAGGTTCAAAAATGGATGAAGTCATTTATGAAGAATTTAAAGGAACAGGCAATATGGAATTGCCATTATCTAGAAAAATTGCAGAAAAACGTGTTTTTCCAGCTATTGATTATAATCGTTCTGGCACTAGAAAAGAAGAATTATTAACTTTGCCAGAAGAACTTCAAAAAATGTGGATTCTTAGAAAAATTATTCATCCTATGAGTGAAATAGACGCAATGGAATTTTTACTTAATAAACTTGCTATGACAAAAACTAACGATGAATTTTTTGATATGATGAAACGTTCCTAAATTTTAAATTTTTACAATCTATATATATTATCAATTATAATCATTCTTGTTTTTTATCTAAATTTACAAAAAAAAGCTGGACAAGAAAGATTATTAATCTTAAAATCTAATTTGTTTTATACTAATGCGCGCTCGTAGCTCATTTGGATAGAGCACTACCCTCCGAAGGTAGAGGTGTCAGGTTCAAGTCCTGTCGAGCGCACTTTTTTATTATTATAGAAAAATTTTAAATTGGTGGCTATAGCTCAGCTGGTAGAGTGCTGGATTGTGATTCCAGTGGTCATGGGTTCAAATCCCATTAGCCACCCAAAAATATTTAAATTCGGCGAATAGCGCAGCTTGGTAGCGCAACTGGTTTGGGACCAGTAGGTCAGAGGTTCAAATCCTCTTTCGCCGACCAAAAAAATTAATGATTTAAAAATTGATTTTGAATAATTTTAAATAAGTGTTCATTATCAGCATATCTACATACCACTATATCTTTCCAACCTAATTTTTGTGCTATTTTTGATAATCTTCTGCCAACAACAAAAATTTTACATTTAAATAGCCATTCTATTTGATCTGTTTCAGAAATAATAGTTGTTAATTGATATAAAATTTCACTGCTAGTTACAACTAAACTATTTATTTGATATAAACGCCATTTTTTACTTTCTATTGTACCGTTTATTTTTTTTAAAACTCTTTTATAACATTCTACAATACAAACTTTAAAACCTGATTTTTTTAAATTTATTTCTATTAATTTTCTTCCATTTTCACCTTGTAGTAAAACAATTTTGTCTTTTTTTGATACTTTTTTATATAAAATTCTTAACAAATTTTCGCTATTTTCTCTTTTTTTAGGAAAAATAATTTTTTTTTTAATATATCTATAAAGAACATTAGCTGTACTTTTTCCAATAGCATAATATTTTACATGAGATGGCCATTGTAAATTATTTTTTTTAAAATATAAATTTGTGTAATAAATAGCATTTTTAGAAAAAACAAGAATAACATTAGATGTATATAATTCATTAATGTTTTGTGATAAACTTATAGCACTTAAACTAGGAAAAAAATCAAATAAAGAAAAATGCCAAGAAGGTACACCTATTTTATTAAGATTTTTTACTAACTCTTCTCCTACAGGTGAAGGTCGCATAACTAATATTTTCATATACAATAAGATTGTTTTATATTAAGGTTATTAAGAATATTTTTAGCACCATTTCGGAGTAATTCATCAGCAAGCGAATATCCCATTTTTTCTCCTGTATCATACCAGCCTATTCTTTCTCCTCTTAATATTATTTTACCATTCGGTGAACCTATTAATCCCCTTAACCAAATTTTATTTTTTTTTAAAATAGCATAGCTACCAATAGGAATCTGACAACCTGATTCTAATTTTCTACAAAACGCTCTTTCTGCATTTATTTCAATAAAAGTATTGATATGATTAAGATGTGATAAAAAAAATAAAACTTTTTTATCATGTATTCTAGATTGTATGCCAATTGCACCTTGACCACATGAAGGAAGAGATAATTCAGCTGGTATTATTTGAGTAATCCGATGCTTTAAACTTAATCTATTTAATCCTTCAGTAGCAAGTATAATAGCATCATATTGTCCTTGGTCTAACTTGGCTATTCTGGTTTCTACGTTACCTCTCAAAGGAGTAACAATCAAATCTGGTCGATAAGTAATTAATTGACATTGTCTTCTCAAACTAGATGTTCCAATTATAGCACCTTTAGGTAATTGATTAATTGATCTATAATTATTAGATATTAATGTATCTAAAGGATTTCCTCTTTTACATATACTGACCAAACACAATTCTTTTGTAATATTCACCGGAAGATCTTTCATAGAATGAATGGCAATATCTGCTTTATTTTCAAGAAGAGCACGTTCTAATTCTTTTATAAATAATCCTTTACCTCCAATTTTTGAAAGAGATTTATTTAAAATATTATCTCCATGAGTCACAATAGGTACTAATTTTATATTTAAATCTGGATATAAAGATAGTATTTTTTTTTGAACATATTTTGTTTGTTCTAAAGCTAAAGGACTTTTTCTAGTAGCAATTCTTAACGTTTTATTTTGCATATTACTATTCATTCTTAATTATAGATATATTTTAAAGAATATTTAAATTTAAAAAGATACAAAACCTTATCATATTTTTTATATTTATATATAAATTTTTTAAATATCATCATTTATAAAAAATTAAATCTTGATTAGATTGAATAGAACATGCATGTTGAAATATTTCCCAAAAATTTTTATAAGTACGATTACAAATCCATTTATTTTCCTTATAATTAAAATGATATCCATTTACTGTTGTAGCTAACCATATTTGTTCTAGTGATTCTTGTTTATTAATAATAATGACACTTTTATTAAAAAAAGTAATAGTCATAACATAATCTTGAATTACATAATCAATATCAATATCATTATCGTATAAGTTTAAATTGTCTTCTATTTTAGAAAATAAATCATTTACTAATATATAAAAATTATGAACCTTTTTTTTAATGGTGATTTCTTTCATGGACATTTCCTTATTTTTAAAATTCATTATAACAAATTTAAAAAATAAAATGATAAACTTAATATCATTAATATTAATTTATAAAATTAATATATGAATATAAATTAATTTTTTTATATTATTATAAATAACTTTTTTTATTTTAAAAAAAATAATTAGTAGGAAAAAAATGATTTCACATTACAAATATAAAAAAAAAGTTTATTTTTCTAAAATGCATGGTTTAAAAAATGATTTTATGGTTATTGATTGTATCAATCAAAATTTTTGTCCATCATCTTTAATAATAAAAGAATTATCTAATAGATATACTGGAATTGGTTTTGATCAATTATTAATTGTAGAAAAAACAGAAAATCCTTTATATGATTTTAATTATCGAATTTTTAATTCGAACGGAAATGAAGTTGAACAATGTGGAAATGGTGCTCGATGTTTTGGTCTTTTTGTTATATTAAAAAAACTAACTAATAAAAAAAGAATTCTAGTAAAAACTAAAACAAGATCTTTAATTATTGAACTTATGTCTAATAATATGATTAAAGTTAATATGAAAGAACCTAATTTTCAAATACATAATCTTTACTTATCTGAAAATGTTGAATATAAAAATTTTTCAATAAAACTTTTAAATAAAAGTTTAATATGCAGTATAGTATCAATCGGAAATCCTCATTGTGTTATTAAAGTTCAATCAATTAATAATGCTCCTGTAAATATTATCAGTCATCAAATTAAAAAAAATAAAGTTTTTTCACACGGTATAAACATAGGTTTTATGGAGATTATAAATAAAAACTATATTAAATTAAGAGTGCACGAACGTGATGTAGGTGAAACTCAATCTTGTGGTAGTGGTGCTTGTGCTGCAGTTTCAATAGGTATCGCACAAAATATACTTTCTAATATTGTTGAAGTAGATTTATTAGGTGGAAAGTTAATTATAGAATGGGAAGGTTTTGGCCAACCACTTTACATGACAGGACCTGCAGAACATGTTTATGACGGTTATATATATATATAAAAAAACTTTTTTATTAAAAAAGGAATAATATTTTGATATTATTAAAAGACAAACAAGAAATATTAAAAAAAAAACAATATATAAAGAAAAATACAAAAAAATTTAATCAAGTATTTTTAGCTCTTTTTTCAGGTGGTTTTTCTACTTTTTCTATTTTGTACTGTGTACAATCTATTTTACCAATATTTTCTAAACAATTTTACTTAACACCAGCAGAAAGTAGCCTGTCTCTTTCTGCTGCCACTGGAATGATGGCATTAGGAATGCTATTTACTGCACCATTATCTGACATAATAGGTAGAAAATCAATTATGTCTATTTCTTTATTTATGGCGGCAATATTAACAATAATATGCTCAATGATGACTAGTTGGACGACTATTGTATTATTACGTGCTTTAACTGGTTTAGCATTGAGTGGTGTAGTTGCCGTTGCTATGACATATATTAGTGAAGAAGTACACCCTGATTCTTTATCTTTTTGTATAGGACTATATATTAGTGGAAATACTATTGGTGGATGCTCAGGAAGACTTATAAGCAGTATTTTATCTGAAAAGTTTTCTTGGAATATTTCATTAGGTGTAATTGGAATATTTTCTCTAATATCTTCTTGTTTTTTTTTATATCTTCTACCCTCTTCTAAAAATTTTTATTCTCTTCCTATTGATTTTCCTAAATTTTTAAAACGTTTTTACTCACAATTAAGGAATCCGACATTATTTTTTCTTTTTTTTATAGGTTTTATACTAATGGGTAGTTTTGTAACTATTTTTAATTATATTGGTTATCGTTTAATACTAGAACCATTTTTTCTTTCTCAATCTAGTATAGGATTACTATCTATTATTTATTTAACAGGAGTATACAGTTCTCCTAAAGCTGGTATTTTAATAAATAAATATAATCGAAATGATATCCTTATATTATCATTACTTTTAATGATTACGGGTGTTTTCATTACACAATTTGATCAATTATTAATAATTATTTTAGGTTTAATAGTATTTTCTGGTGGTTTTTTCGCATCACATTCTATTGCGAGCAGTTGGGTTGGTTCTTGTACAAAAACTTCAAAAGTTCAAGCTACATCTTTATATTTATTTTTTTACTATTTAGGTTCAAGTGTATTTGGTACATTTGGTGGATTTTTTTGGTTTCATTTTAAATGGTATGGAATTTCTATTTTTATTTTAACAATGTTATTGTTAGGAATTTTTTTATCTTTAAAACTAAAAAAAAAATAATATAATATTTTTATATTTTTCTATAAAAATACTATCATAAATAGTATTATATAAATAATATTTATATTTTACTTTCCTCAGACATAGTTTCTCACAGATAATAAGCTTAGTTCAATTCATCAAAACGGCTTAAAGATTATGCTATATTTATTTTCTTATTCTGATTTGAATCATAGTTTATTTATTTTTTTAGCTTTATTTTTTGTTTTATTTTATGAAGCTATTAATGGTTTTCATGATACAGCTAATGCAGTATCTACTTTAATTTATACACGAGCAATGTCTGCACATATTGCAGTTATAATGTCTGGTATATTTAACTTTCTAGGTGTTTTACTTGGAGGATTAACTGTTGCTTATGCAATTGTACATTTATTACCCAATGATTTATTATTAAACACTAGTTCAAAAAATGCTCTTGCTATGGTTTTTTCTATGTTATTAGCAGCAATACTTTGGAATTTATCTACTTGGTATTTTTGTTTACCCGCATCAAGCTCACATTCTCTTATTGGAGCAATTATAGGAATAGGTTTAACTAACGCAATAGTTACAGGTTCATCTTT